TCCATGTCCCTACAAAGGACACGAACTCATCGTTTTTTGATGACTGCATAGTATTCCATGGAGTATATGTGCCACATTTTCCCTGTCCAGTCTATCACCAATGGGCATTTGGGTTGGTTCCAGGTCTTTGCTATTGTAAACAGTGCTGCAGTGAACATTCATGTGCATGTGTCCTTATAATAGAACGATTTATAATCCTTTGGATATATACCCAGTAATGGGATTGCTGGGTCAAGTGGAATTTCTATTTCTAGGTCCTTGAGGAATTGCCACACTGTCTTCCACAATGGCCGAACTAATTTACACTCCCACCAACAGTGCAAAAGTGTTCCTGTTTCTCCACATCCTCTCCAGCATCTGTTGTCTCCAGATTTTTTAATGATCGCCATTCTAACTGGCGTGAGATGGTATCTCAGTATAGTTTTGATTTGCATTTCTCTAATGACCAGGCTGGATTTTTAAGGTTTAGCTTGTCTAAAAGTAAAATGGATGGGCACAGTGACTCATGCCTGTAATCTCAGCACTTTGGGATGCCAAGGTAGGCAGATCACTTAAGGTCAGGAGTTTGAGACCAGCCTGGCCAACATGGTGAAACCCCTTCTCTACTAAAACTACAAAAATTAGCCTGGCAAAGTGGCACATGTCTGTAATCCCAGCTACTCCGGAGGCTGAGGCAGGTAAATCACTTGAACCTAGGAGGTGGAGATTATAGTGAACTGAGATTGCACCACTGCACTCTAGCCTGGGCAACACAGTGAGACTCCTTCCAAAAAAAACAAACAGACAAAAAACCGATTTTATAATATTGGTAGGGAGTCATATATCTCTACTATTTTCCATATTTTTCCTTAATTTTTATTTTTATCTATTTTCTTTCCAAAGAATTATGCTTAACCAAAATCACATTCTTTAAATATCTGTTCATGCTGATATAAATAAACAAATGAGTAACTAAACAAACAGATGAGGTGTGAAATCACAGCTTTTCCTTACAGAATAATGCCAGTTAATAAATGTGGAAGGAAAGACAAAAATAATAAATTCACTATTAGAATACACAGTGAAAATTACCATGGGCATAATTCACCAATGGATGCTAAAAGCAGCAAGCAGAGATTCAAGTAGAAACAGAATTACAGTGGAGAATCTTGTTAGACATGTCCTTAGCTATATAATCAAGGCTAACATCACCAGAAATAGCAACATACCTTCTGATTTGATGCAGTGAGAAGGGTACATCACCTCTAAAGGATCTTTCCCCAAAATAACCTCAATCCGATCATGAGAAAACATCAGACAAACCCAAATTGAGGCACAGTCTGTAGATTAAGTGATCAGTGCTGTTCAGCCGTGTCAGTCATGAAAGATAAGGAAAGACTGAGAAATTGTTGAAAATAAGAGGAGTCTTGAGAGACATGACAAACAAATGCAATGTGGGATCCTAGATTAGATGCTGAACAGAAAAGGAATGTTAGTGGAAAAACTGTTGAAACGTGAAAAAGTTCTGTACTTTATATAGTACCATGTTAATTTCTTAGTTTTGATAAATGTTCTGTGATTATGTAAGACATTAACATATGGAGAAGCTAGGTGCCGAGCATATAGGAAATCTTTACTTTCTCTCTCTTTCTCTCTCTCTCTCTCTCTCTCTCTCTCTGTGTGTGTATGTGTGTGTGTGTGTGTGTGTGTGTGTGTGTGTGTGTGTGTTTGGTTTTTGAGATGGAGTTTGCTCTTGTTGCCCAGGCTGGAGTGCAATGGCACAGTCCTGGCTTACCACAACCTCCACCTCCCAGGTTCAAGCAATTCTCCTGCTTTAGCCTCCCAAATAGCTGGGATTACAGGTACCCTCCACCACTCCCGGCTAATTTTTTTTTATTTTTAGTAGAGATGGTGTTTCTCCATGCTGTTCAGGGTGGTCTCAAACTCCCAACCTCAGGTAATCTGCCCGCCTTGGCTTCCCAAAGTGCTGGGATTACAGGTGTGAGCCACCACACCTGGCCAAGACACCATCTCTTTAAAAAAAAAAAAATGGTGGTGGGGGGGAGGGAGTGGGCTCAGTAGCTCACACCTGTAATCCCAGCCCTTTGGGAGGCCAAGGCAGGTGGATCACCTGAGGTCGGGAGTTTGAGACCACCCTGAACAGCATGGAGAAACCCTGTCTCTACTAAAAATCCAAAAAATTAGCCAGGCTTGATGGCGGGTACCTGTAATCCCAGCTACTTGGGAGACTGGGCAGGAGAATTGCTTGAACCCGGGAGCAGAGGTTGCATTGAACAGAGATTACACCATTGCACTCCAGCCTGAGCAACAGAGTGAGACTCCATCTCAAAAAAAAAAAAAAAAAAAAAAAAAAAAAAGTTGATGTCTTGATGTGTTGCCCAGGCTGGAGTGCAGTGATACAATCATAGCTCCCTGTAGTCCTCAACTCCTGGGCTCAGTCAATCCTCCCGAGTAGCCAGGACTATAGGCCTCTGCCGCTATGCCCAGTTAATTTGTTTGTTTTTGTTTTATAGAAATGCAGGCTTGTATGGAACTCCTGGCTTCAAGTAATCCTCCTGCCTCTACTCCCCAAAGTGCTCGTGAACCACTGTGCTTGACCTTTACTATTTTTGTACTTGTTCTCTAAAATTATTTCAAAATGTTAAAAAATTGAATTCTTTTTTACTGTTGGTTTTAAGATTGTGTCTTAAGATTTTTCTTCTTAAATCCAACACAAATGCGTATAACAGTGGTTCTCAAACAGTGTTCGTTCCTAGATCAGCAGCACTGACATCAATTGGAACCTTGTTAAAAATGCAAATGTTCAGAAGCATTGGGGATGGAATGTAGCAATCTGTGTTTTTTGTTGTTGTTTTATTTTGAGATGAAGCCTCTTTCTGTTGTCCATGCTGGAGTGCAGTGACACGATCTTGGCTCACTGTAGCCTCTGCCTCCCAGGTTCAAACAGTTTTTCTGCCTCAGCCTCCTAAGTAGCTGGGATTACAGGTACCTGCCACCATGCCTGGCTAATTTTTATTTACTTAATTTTTTTTATTTTATTTTTAGTAGGGATGGGGTTTCACCATGTTGTCCAGGCAGGCTGGTCTCAAACTTCTGACCTCAAGTGATCCTCCTATCTTGGCCTCCCAAAGTGCTGGGATTACAAGTGTTCGCCACCAGGCCCTGCTGTGATCTGTGTTTTAACAAGCACTCCTTCCAGATTATTCTGATGCACACTAAAGTTTGATAAACATGATTTATGCCATCAATAAAAGCTTAAGACTAAAAGGAAACATTTCTATTAATATGTTGTCCAGTAATTACTAGTAAGTTTGCTTTTCACAAAGTATAATTATAGTATTACCAATGGTTTGTTTGGTTTTTGTAGAGACGGGGCCTCACTATGTTGCCCAGGCTGATCTCGAACTCCTAGGCTCAAATTATTCCCCTGCCTCAGTCTCCCAGAGTGTTAGGATAACAGGTGTGAGCCACCGTGCCCAGCCACCACCAATTTTTAAATCCATTTCCTATTACTTTTCTTTCTTTTTTATTTGGAGATAGTGTCTTGCTTATTGCCCAGGCTGAAGTACAGTGGTGCAATCTTGGTTCACTGCAACTGCCATCTCCTGGGCTCAAGCAATTCTCGTGCCTCAGTGTCTTGAGTATCAGTATCTAGGAATACAGGTACCCACCACCATGCTTGGCTAATTTTTTGTATTTTAGTAGAGACAGGGTTTCACCGTGTTGCCCAGGGTAGCCTCAGACTCCTGAGCTCAGGCGATCTGCCCACCTCGGCTTCCCAAAGTGTTAGGATTACAAGCATGAGCCACCACACCCGGTCTGATTTTCCTACTTTATCTCCTGAACATTACCAGATGTGCTTAAGGGATGACTTTTAAGATACAGATAGGCCTGATGGTGGTGGCTCATGCCTGTAATCCTAGCACTTTGGGAGGCTGAGGCAGGTGGATCACCTGCAATCAGGAGTTCAAGACCAGCCTGTCCAACATGGTGAAACCCTGTCTCTACTAAAAATACAAAAAAAAAAAAAAAAAAAAAAAAAATTGGTGGGGCATGGTGGCAGGCACCTGTAAGCCCAAGTACTTGGGAGGCTGAGGCAGGAGAATTGCTTGAACCCAGGAGGCAGAGGTTGTAGTGAGCTGAGGTCATGCCACTGCACTGCAGCCTCGGCAACAGAGCAAGACTTTGTCTCAAAAAAAAAAAATCTTGACCTCAGGATTTCAAGACCAGCCTGGGGAACATGGCAAAACCCCATCTCTACAAAAAAATTAGCTGGGCATTGTAGTGTGCACCTGTAGTCCCTCGCCTACTCCAGAAGGATTGCTTTAATCCTGGAGGCATAGATTGCAGTAAGCCAAGATCTCGCCACTGTACTTCCAGCTGGGGTGAACAAAGGAAGTACAGTGGTGAGATCTTGGCTCACTATCTCAAAAGAAAGAAAGGAAAGGGAAGGAAAAGAAGAAAAGGAAAACAAAGAAATGTCTTCTATGCGGGAGGCTAAGGCAGGAGAATCGCTTGAACCAAGTGAGCCGAGATCATGCCAGTGCACTCCAGCCTGAGCAACAGAGCAAGACTCCGACTTAGGGGGAAAAAATCATGTCCTCTGAATGCTTTGAGATCTTGATGGTTTTGACAGTTTAGAAGGAAAAGCAACAAAAACAAATCTTTTCTCAGAACAGTAACTGCTGTTTTAAACAGAACTAAACTCTTCAAATTTGCATTTAAAAATGCCACATAACCAGTACCCTCACCTTTCATTAATCATTAATACAATGAAGCCACTGCCACTCACATGCTTATTCAGGGGCACATCAGTGGCTTTCGTGGGCTCTGTCTTTGTCCTCCCCCTTTTCTAACTTATCTCTCAGTTTCCGTAAGTCTTAATTTATAGATAGAATCTATTTGTGTTTTGACTTTGAGAGATAGAGCAGAATTTGAAAACAGTATATGGCAGTATTTCAATATTTTAAAAACTTGTTTCTAACAAATTCTCTTTACAGACGTACAATAGCTGTGCCAGACTCTGCTTAAACCAAGAAACAGTATGTTTAGCAAGCACTGCTATGAAGACTGAGAATTGTGTGGCCAAAGTAAGTAATATTACTCATCAGTGTATATTGTAACACACCATAACAGTGCTGTATCTGTAGGCATCTTTACTCAGTATTGGCTTAAGGACTGTTACAGGATTATATATTCAAGAAAAAATAAACAGGCATTATTTTATCTAGAACAGACTGCAAATTAGATTCTCCACTTCTTAATTGCAACAGAATCTTTTGATCATGAATTCTGGTCACACTTTAGACTGATTAACATTTGTTTCTTGACCCTAGTTATAGCTTATCACATATCAGTAAAATTTATATAAGATAATGCACAATTGTTTTGAAAAGTTTTTGTTTTTTAAATGCAGTTATATATAGAGTACATTGTTGCAAGATTGTGAAATATGCTATAGAAAACCCAATTATTATGTTACTATTATTATTTACTGAGTGGCTAATGTTACAAATACTGTTTTTAGTGATCTTGATCCACATGAACATGTACGTTTAGTCATGTCTATGGGCTACCCCTTTTTCATGTATATATATGTCATCTCCATAGCCTAGATGTAAAATTAATCTTAAGTATTAGAAATCTGATGCTTTAAATTCAAGTGTCAGACATTTTATTTTAGGGGTAAGTACTATTAAGTATGGGCTCTGTTTCTTTTACTTGAATTATCTACAAAAATACTGCCTTTGTATCTATTCATAGATTTGCTGCTGTTAACCACATTCTCAACTTCAACTGTTTTAGTTCAACCTACTTTATTATAGACCCAGGCCCTTAGTTCCTTGCACTTATTATTAGAGCCAGGACTGGTGTCATGTAGTTACTATCCTTTGCTACAAAAATCCAAGGACAGTTGTCTTAGTCCATGAGGACTGCTGTAACATAAACACTCTAAGCTGGGTGGCTTATAAACAAAACTAATTTTTTTCTTATAGGGGCTGAGAAGTCCCCAAGATTAGGGCACCAGCAGATTCAGTGTCTGGTGAGGGCTTGCTCTCTGCTTCATAGATGGTGCCTTCTCATTGCATCCTCACATGACAGAAGAGACTAGCTAGCTGGGGTCTCTTTTTTTTTTTTTTTTTTTTTTTTTGAGACGGAGTTTTGCTCTTGTTACCCAGGCTGGAGTGCAATGGCGCGATCTCGGCTCACCGCAACCTCCGCCTCCCGGGTTCAGGCAATTCTCCTGCCTCAGCCTCCTGAGTAGCTCGGATTACAGGCATGTGCCAGCATGCCCAGCTACTTTTTTGTATTTTTAGTAGAGACGGGGTTTCACCATGTTAACCAGGATGGTCTTGATCTCTTGACCTCGTGATCCACCCGCCTTGGCCTTCCAAAGTGCTGGGATTACAGGCATGAGCCACCGCGCCCAGCCTGGGGTCTGTTTTTTAAGGGCACTAATACCATTCACAAGAGGTCTGCCTTCATTAATTTGGGAGAACACAAACATTCAGACCATAACAAAAGCAGAGTTTTGTTTTGTTTTGTTTGTTTTTTCTTAAAACATGCAATAGTCAGGCCGGGTGTGGTGGCTCAAGCTTGTAATCCCAGCACTTTGGGAGGCCGAGGCGGGTGGATCACGAGGTCAAGAGATCGAGACCATCCTGGTCAACATGGTGAAACCCCGTCTCTACTAAAAGTACAAAAATTAGCTGGGCATGGTGGCACGTGCCTGTAATCCCAGCTACTCAGGAGGCTGAGGCAGGAGAATTGCCTGAACCCGGGAGGCAGAGGTTGCGGTGAGCCAAGATCGCACCATTGCACTCCAGCCTGGGTAACAAGAGTGAAACTCCGTCTCAAAAAAAAAAAAAAAAAAAACATGCAATAGTCTGTGAGCCTGCCCTATCAACTGGAAATAGATCACACAAAATATAACCATTGACCTTATTTTATTTTATTTTATATTGTTTCATTTTTTTAGATAAAGGATCTTGCTCTGTTACCCAGGCTAGATTGCAGTGGCACAATCCTAGCTCAATGCAGTCTTTACCTCCTGGGCTCAAGTCCTGATCTTCCTGCCTCAGCCTCCTGAGTAGCTGAGACCAGGGGTGTGTGCCACCACACCCAGGTTATTATTTTTTTTTTTTTAGGTTTTTTTGTTTGTTTGTTTTTTGGGTAGTGATGAGTTGTCACTGTATTGCCTAGGCTGGTCTCAAACTCCTAGCCTCAAGTGTTCCTCCCACCCAGGCCTGCCAAAGAGTTGGGATTACAAGCGTGAGCCACTAAACCCAGCCCAGGTCTACTTTATATCCTGCTTTTGTGCATGGAAACAGGGGTACACAGTTATTTGGGCCTTTAAAAATTCTTTTTTTTTTTGGGCCATGCTACTCTCAGTTTTATCACAAGTGGGTGGCTTCTGGCTAAATAAAGTAAAATTTTAGCATGAGTACTAATCCAAGGGCAGGGATTTTAATGAGTTTCTTTGAGAGCTGGCCAAGTGAGCATCTGTTCCTTTTGTTTTCTCCATACTTTGTAAGCCAGGATCTCTAATCTAAATAGTTAGGTTGGTGTGTGTCTATATGATGTGGAGTTTTTTTGTTTGTTTGTTTTCTCCCACCCTCTCCTTTAGTGGTACATGGTTAAAAATCTTCTGGCATTGGGCACAATGATGTAATGTCTTCCATGCTCTTAGATCTTGGGTGGGAAAATAAGTTTGCTCATTGCCGCACTGCAGCTCATCAGTCTGTTTCACTTGCTCCCAGGTGGTGACCCTCTCATTGCATTGTTGCTTGTTTTTTTTTTTTTTTTGAGACGGAGTTTCGCTCTTGTTACCCAGGCTGGAGTGCAATGGTGTGATCTCAGCTCACCGCAGCCTCCGCCTCCTGGGTTCAAGCAATTCTTCTGCCTCAGCCAACCGAGTAGCTGGGACTACAGGCATGCGCCACCATGCCCAGCTAATTTTTGTACTTTTAGTAGAGACGGAGTTTCACCATGTTGACCAGAATGGTTTCGATCTCTTGACCTCGTGATCCACCCGCCTCAGCCTCCCAAAGTGCTGGGATTACAGGCATGAGCCACCGCGCCCAGCCTGATGTTGCTTGTTTTAACATTATTCTGACACCCATATTCTTTCATCATCCTCTTAAATAATCTAATTTAATAATGACGTCTATCATTTCCTACTGAAACCCAGCTAAATCACTGGTTCCTTTCATTCGCCCACATCCTGTCTTCTGGTTCATTGCTTCAGATTTGAGCCAAATAATCAGTTGGTCAGTGTCAAATAAAAACACAAATAGCTGAAAAATTTTCTGTCTTGCAACAGTCTCCAGTGAGATACCCATAGTATGAGAATAGTGAAAAAGATTTTCCCTTTTTTTGAGATGGAGTCTTGCTCTGTCACCCAGGCTAGAGTACAGTGGTGCCATCTTGGCTCACTACAACCTCCACCTCCTGGGTTCAAGCCATTCTCTTGCCTCAGCCTCCTGAGTAGCTGGGATTACATATGCATGCCACCACGCTCAGCTAATTTTTGTATTTTTTAGTAGAGACAGGGTTTCACCATGTTGGCCAGGCTGGTATCAAACTCCTGACCTCAGGTGATCTGCCCTCCTCGGCTTCTCAAAGTACTAGGACTACAGGCATGAGTCACTGCACTTAGCCAAGTTTTTTCTTTTTTATTTGCGTGTGTTTTGTGTGTGTCACGATTCCTGTTTCTATTGGCCTCATTTATTGCATGACCTTTGAATGGAATGACTCATCATTATTTTTGTTGGTCTGCAAGCTTGTCCCTATTTCCTGTTCTTCACCTTTAGCCCTTAACGGAATAGTTTCATCTCTACATTGATATGGCTGCAGTGTTTTCTCAACTTGGTACAAGTGTCTGTTGTTGATTCAGATTGTACTCCATTGTAGCCATAATCTGTAAACATTTCCATGTGAAAACAACTATAATATAGTGATATCAACCATTTTTGTTCTCTAGTTTAAAGAATGACTTTCGTTTGGCTAGATAATTATAGACCAAAACCTTATTATTGAATATGGTTCATGTGAGTTTTAGAGAAGATATTAATACCAGTTATTTCCCTAAAAGCAGCAATGGTATTATGTTTGGACCCCTGGGTATAGTACCTTGAATGTGACTTTTTGCCAGAAACATCTTACAGTAGTTCTATGAAAAGGGTGCCCATTAGTCCTCAGTAGAATACAAGAAAACAAAGCTGTTAAACAAGTTACAACCACCCTAGGTTGACAATAATCTTGTGAATCTTTAACTTGAAGAAAGAAGCCTAAGAAAAGATTTAAAAATAAAAATGAAGGAGGGTCTATTTTATCACCATAACTTAATACAAGTAATATCTGGAGACACTGAGATAACTTTTTTTTTTTTTTTTTTTTTTTTTTTTTTTTTTTTTTTTTTTTTCAGAATTCTTTCTCCTGGTTATGGCCTTGTGTTTCATGAGATTTGTGTTTAGAGCATGATGAGCTTTATGTTTATTGTAGCTTTAAATGGACAGTCATTATTAACTGTCAACTTAGTCTTTAAAATCCATGATCACATTGTGTGTGTTAATGTCAGCCTTCATGATGTTTTTAATTGGTAAAGAAAACTAACTGGAAGGCTGAAAAGCATTACTTTTTTATGTTATCTTGCTATTGACTTTATTAAACTATTACTGCAAAATTTGATCTTAGGTTTTTTTCCTAATTTACCCTTACCCACACCCACAAACCGATACACAAACACATACAGTTAAAATTGAATTGTTTGAATCCATCTATCTGGATTCCTGGCTCAGATAAGAGAAGTTTTTCCTCTTTATGTCTGGAAAATAAACCCCTTCAGTCGTCCTTTGCGGATGTTATGTGTTTTAGTTGTTGTTGTTTGTTGTCACTGTTTTTTTATTTGAGACTAATAATCTGTTTGAAACTGACTGAGACAGAAAAATGTGATGTTCCTTTCCACTCACTCCAGATTTTGATAGAAGACTTGTTTTATTTATTTCCAAAATTATATCCGCAGGAAACAAGCTGTTTAAATTCAGATTATGCTGAAGTAAAATAGTCCTGGTATGAGAAGCAACGTGCT